AACCCAAACCCAGTGCTTGGCCATCAAGTCCATCTTGAGTCACAGCAGCCCGTGGATTCCAGAGTAGAAGTCCTCCGTACGGTTTTCCTGCCTGTGGTCTTTACCAACGTGCATCTCCAGGCCTTTTGCCTGCAGTGTCTCTGAGTGAGTTTGAACCACCGACCTTTAGGTTGGTAGTTGATCACAGAACATTTGAGCCAGTGGGAGTGAGGAGAACTTCTCTAACTGTGAGTAAGGTCTGGGGTCTGCTTTGGAGACCACCCAGAATAGCCCCTGTTATCAAGACAGCCCACGAGTCCTGGTGTGGTGCTGTAGGATAAGCACTGGATTGCTAACCTCAAGATGGGTGATTCAAACCCACCAGCTGCGCCTCAGAAACCTGATACAGGATCAATATGAGTCAGAACCAACTCGAGGGTACTTAACAGTAATCAAGACAGTCCAGCCTGGGGTGACACTGGAACACTGTGTGTTCCAGAAAGCCGAGAATCAGGGGCTCCCAGACAGACAGTCTCACATCCAGAGCCCTGGGGGGCCAGCCGAGGGGCCCAGCCTGGGAGCCTTCACATCCCTTAGAAACCAACTCAGGTAAATCTAGTTCACAAAAGACCAGGGTATCCAGAATGACTGGAATTTCGTTTGAAATGCAGACAGGATACTCATGTTCACAGAATGCAGCTTTCTCTTCCTGTTGACACGTTTGGTGGAGGCAGATTACAGTCACGAGGATATGGGTGGGCAAAGAGTCAGAGGACTGATCAGTGAGACCCTGAGACCCCCAGGAGCCCTACCTTCCCCAGTCATACTCCACAGCAGCCAGCTCCCTTCTGGGACACATTCTTTACTCAGCACCTCAAATGAAGGTCTGACCTGGTCATATAATCTAAGAGGGTAGTCAAATTTCCCAAATCCCGGGAAAGAATCCCACACTGCTCTCAACTACGTATGTGACTCATCGGTGTTCACCTGCAGCCTTGGGACCACTTATTTTTACTATCATTTTGTTTCTCTTTTTCTTCCAATTACATTTTATTTGAGATCATTACAGATCCACATGCAATTGTAAGAAACAGTACAGAAAAACCCACATATCCTTTACCCAGAACTGCCCAGTGGTAACATTCTTGCCAAACTGTTGTACATTGCAACCTGGATACTGACATCAATTCAGTGGAGATATAAACGATTCTCTCACCACAAGGAGCTCTCCTTGGTGCCCTGGATTAGCCACTTCCCTCCCACCCATCTCCTCCTTAACCCTTGGAACCACTAACCTGGTCTCCAGTTCTCTAATTTTGTCATTTCAAGAACAAAATTCAATGTAATCATGTAAACTTGGAGGACTCGCTTTTTTCACTTGGCATGGTTCTCTGTCCCAGTTTGCTTGTGCCAATCTTTGGTTCCTTCTTTCCTGAGTATATTCCATGGCATGGATGAACTGTTTGTGCCAATGGACAACTGTTCTTTTTAGTCTGGGACGATTATGAATAAAGCTGCCATAAATATTCGTGTACAGGTTTTCCTGCAAACATAAGTTTTCATTTGTCTGGGATTCCTGCCCAAGAGTGCAATTGCTGGGTTGTATAGAGTTGCATGCTTAGTTTTTCAAGCAACTACATACAAAACTGTTTTCCAGAATAACTGTGCCAGTTGGCATTCCCACCAGCAACATATGGAAGATCGAGTTTCTCTGCGTCTTTACCAGGCTTTGTTACCATCACAGGTTTTTTATATTGCTGTTGTTGTTAAGTGCCATTGAGTCAGTTCTGACTCATAGCAACCCTGTATAGGGATTCCAAGGAGCTGCGTGTTGGGTTTGAACCGCCAACCTTGAAGTTAAAAACCAACCTTGCAGTTCAGTGCATTATCCTTCAATGCCACATCAGGACTCCAGTTTTTTACATTAACCATCATGATAGGTGCATAGTGATGTCTCACTGTGGCTTTAATTTGCATTTCCCTAATGTCTACTAGGAAGGAGCTCTGATAGCATAGTGGTTAAGAGTCAAGCTGCTAACCACAAGGTCAGCAGTTCGAAACTACCAGCCGTTCCACAGGAGAAAGATGAAACTTTCTACTCCCATAAAGATTTACAGCCTCAGGGTCACTATATGTGGGAACCAACGCCACAGCACATAACCACGACCACCACCAATGCCCACTGGGAATCCTGGTGTAGTGCTGTAGGATAAGCACTAGACTGCTAGCCACAAGGTCAGTGGTTCAAACCCACCAGCTGCTCCTTGGTAACCCTATGCTCAATAGCACTTAATCAACTAGATAGCACTTAACAACAGTGTCTACTGAAAGGGGTCCTGGTAGTGTGGTAGGTGAAGAATTGGGTTGGTAACCACAAAGCCAGCTGTTCAAATCCACCAACTACTCCATGGGGAAAAGATGAGAGTGTCCACTACATAGGTTTGTTGTTGTTGTAAAATGCTGTCAAATCGGTTCTGACCCATAGCGACCCTGTATAGGGTTTTCCAGGAGCAGCTGGTGAGCTTGAACCGCCGACCTTGCAGTTCAAACAGCTTTGCAGTCTGGCGCATTAACCCACAGCACCACACCAGGACAACTACATAGGTTTACAGCCTTGGAAACCCTGTGGAGTAGGGTTTCTGCTCTGCCCTGCAGGATCCTCTAGGAGTAGGAATCAGCCGGCTGATGGTAAGTCTGTTGTTTCTGTAATGTCTAGTGAAGTCTCCTGGAGTCCTGGTGTGGCGCTCTAGGATAAGTGCCCAACTGCAAGGTCTGTTTGAACCACGAGGTTGGCAGGTTTAGAAGCGCTTACAAAAGAGGGTCACCAGGAGTCAGAACCAACTCGACGACACTTCACAACAACAGTGAAGTCACCTGGGTTGTACAAACAGCTAAGCACTTGATAACTAACTAAAAGGTTGGTGCCTCAAATCCACCCAGAGGCAACTCAGAAGAAAGGCCCTAACAATCTGTCCCCATGAGGTTGCCCTGGTAACGGGTTTATGGAGCCATCCTGGTCTGCACATAGGGTCACCGGGAGTCCGGATTAACCCAACAGCAGCTTGCCTTCTGACCTTTGTTGCTGTTGTGAAGTGCCGTCAAGTCAGTTCTGACTCATAACAACCCTGTATAGGGTTTCTGAGGAGCAGCTGGTGGGTTTGAACCACTGACCTTGTAATTAGCAGTCCAATTCTTATCCTAGAGTGCCATGCCAGGACTCCTTTATCCCTAGGCAGATGCTGCTATTTGAATATCATAAAGTTCTTTGTTCTAAGGAGTATGTTCATCCCAGGTGTTACTGTTCACCTTGTAGGCCTTTTATGACTTGTCTCAAAGTTGAATCATGGGGCGGTGAGTTCAGTTTCGGACCTGAACGGCCTCTTAGGGCCATTGTCTGGGTGGGGTGATGGGGCATGGTCCCTCCAGTCTCCAGCAAACCAGTAGTCTGGTTATTTTATGTTTTTTTTTTTAATGTTTTTGAGTTTTAGTCCAGATTTTTCTCCCACTCTATCCAGTACCTATTGTGATCCCATTCAAAGTGGTCTATAGCGGTAACTGGGCACTATGTAGTTTTTGTTGTCCCAGGTTGGTGGAGGCTGAGGTTTATGTGATACATTGGTTCTTTGGACTAATTCTTTCCATGTGCTTCCTAGACCTTTTTCAACGTTTTCTGTCATACAAATATGTTGTTGTTGTTGTTGTAAGGGGCTATCAAGTCAGTACTGACTCATAGCAATCCTGTGCACAACAGAACAAAACACCGCCCAGTCCTGCACCAACCTCATCATTGGTGCTACTTTGGAGACCATAGCTGCTGCCAATGCATCTCGCTGGAGTGGAGGTCTTCTTTCTCTCCCATCCTCCACTTTACCAAGCACTATAACCTTCTCTAGGGACCGGTCCCTCCTGATAATCTGTCCGAAATAAGAGAAATAGTCTCGCTATCCTGGTTTCTAAGGAACATTATGGCTGTACTTTTTCCAGCACAGATCTATTTGCTCTTTTGGCAGTCCATGGTACTACTTTCAATATACTCCTCTAACACCATAACTCAGATGCATCAGTTCTTCTATGGTCTTCCTTATTCACTGTGCTCATTTCGCATGCATATGAGGTTATTGAAAATACCATGGCTTGAGTCAGGCACACTTTAATCCTCAAACTGACATCTTTGCTCGTGAACACTTTAAAGAGGTCTTGTGCAGCAAAATTGCCTAATGCAATACATCATCTGGTTTCTTGACTGCAGTTTCCGTGAGTGTTGATAGTAGATCTAAGCAAAATGAAATCTTTGACAACTTCAATCTTTTCTCCATTTATTGTGATCCTCAGTGGTGAGGATTGTTTTGTTTTGTTTTACATTAAGGTGCAATCCATACTGCAGGCTGTGGTCTTTGATCTTCCTCAGTAAATATTTTTCTCAGCAAGCAAAGCTGTATCATCTGCATATCACAGGTTCACTTTCAGCAAGCAAGGTTGTATCATCTGCATATCGGCCGGTTGTTTATGAGTCTTGATCCAATCCTGATGCCCCGTTGTTCTTCATATAATCCAGTTTCTCAGATTATTTACTCAGAATACAATAAGTGTGGGGAAAGAATACAACCCTGGCACACACTTTCCTAATTTTAAACCATTCAGTGTTCCCTTGTTCTGTTCGAATCACTGCCTCTTGATCTATATAGAGGTTCCTCATGAGCACAATTAAGTGTTCCAGAATACTCATTCTCTGCAGTATTGTCCATAGCTTGGCATGATCCACACAATAAAGCACAGGTGAGACCACAACCCTCAGACTCTCTGTGGAAGCGTCAGCTGGGCTCTGAGCCTCCTGGTTGGCATTGCCTTCCCTTCCATCTTCACGGCTGGGCTGCAGGCATGGGGCACACTCTCCCGGCTCCCTCTGAAGTGTGGGCACAGCTGTGGCTTGGGCTCCGGCCTTATCAGTCCAGGCCACACCCATAGGAACATGGGACACCCTGTCTTACACTTGCACTCATCTCATGTCCCCTCTGACACAGGAAGACCATGACACTATGGAAGCTGACCTGGACAAAGATGAGCTGATCCAGCCCCAGCTTGGAGAGCTGTCAGGCGAGAAGCTGCTGACCACAGAATACCTGGGGGTAAGCACCACTTGAAGGGGTGGAGGGCTCTCAAGCAGAAGCAGGGTGCATTTAGTGTTTCCAACAACACATAAGTGTTGGTGAGAAGGTCCATGCTAGGCCTTCTGGCTTCAGAGGCCTGAAAGCTCACCGTGGCCCAGCAGTGTTTCGTTCCGTTGCACGTAGGGTCCCTATGAGTCGGTACTGGCTTGATGGCACTTAACAACAACAACAGCCTAGATACCTGTGAAAACAGTAGAGCATACAAAGGAAAGAGTTATGAAGACTTCTTGATCGTACATAACCAAACACTTTGAGGGAATGAATGGCTGGGCCTAAGAGTTTCAGAGAACATCACGGTTGATTGTCACAACAAAGACTGTTCTATATCCTACTACTTGATGAGTAGTAGTTGTTGTTTGTTGTTGTTAAGTGCCATGAGTCAGTTCCAACCTATAGCGACCCTGTATAGGGTTTTCAAGGAGCAGCTGGTAAGCTTGAACCACTGACCTTGCAGTTCAAACAACTTTGCAGTTTGGTGCATTAGCCCACAGTGCCACACCAAGACTGTGTACATAAAAGCCTATGTGCAGCCATCTAAGGTGCTATTGTTTGTCTCTCCCCATCCTGACCACAAAAGAATGAAGAAAATCCAGGATGCATGGAAACCGTTAATCTAAGGACTAATGGGCCATACAAACCTCAGTGTCCATGACCCATGACCAGAACTACCACTACCATCCACTTTGAAAGGGACCACAACCAAAGTTCCTGAATAGAGTGGGGAAAATGTAAAATGAAGCTAAAAAGATTTAAAAAAAGAAAAGCAGACGCACTGGTTTGGTAAGATTGGTGGACACCCCCCCAACCCCCCAACTGTGGTCCTTTTTCACCCTTCAGGCCTATGTTGTTGTTTTGTGGCATCCATTTGGATCTGACTCATAGCGACCCTGTATAGGGTTTCTGAGCAGCAGCTGGTGGGTTTGAACTGCCAATCTTGCAGCTCAAACGGACCTTGCGGACCAGTGCCTTAGGTCTGCAGGGTGAACAGTCACACTAGGGAGGTACACACTCCTTAGAACAATCATGTGAGATCAAAGGGCAGCATCTGCCCAGGGGTAAAGCTCAGAGGTGGGAAAAGACAAGAGAAAGGACCAATGGAAATGCTAGGCGTAAGTGACAAGAGTGCTGTCAGACTGTGGGGCCTGCGGTCATTGTCACCCAACAGAACGTGTCTGAATTGTTGAGTGGAAAACCAATTTGCTCTGTACACTTTCACCCAAATCAAAGAGACTCTGGAATTTTGAAGCTGGCAGTTGACTGACTGGCTTTGTGACCCAGTCCCCAAATCGCCTGGCGTCAGGTGGCATTGGTGATGAGAGTTGCTTAGTGATTGGCTGGCGAAACATGACCGGGAAAGGATCTCCATGGAGCCTGTGGGGGCCAAGCAGGAGCAGACATCTCTGCCCAGGCCCACCCCCAGTCCAGGGTTCCCTGGGACCCGAGAGGCATGCAGTGCGTCCAGCGAGTGGTGGTCCTGAAACTGGAGGGGCAGCGAAGACCCAGTCATGGGGGCTTTGAAGCCATGGCTAGGGTTTGAGGTTTTACTTACTCTCTGTGAGAACAGGGAAGTGGCTTGGTATTAAAACATTGACTATACTGTCCCTCTGGCTGCCTTAGGGGTTGGGAGTGGAGGAAGGGAGGTGACTGGGGAGTCTGGGGCTCCTCACCATGCTCCCACCCTACTCTCAGAACATATTGAGGACCAAAGGGCCAGTGTGTGAGTGCGGAGGTCTAGAGCCGCATTCACCTGAGTCTGTTGGAATGCTCGTGCTTCGGGTCAGGTCGTGGGTTCGGCAGGTCGGGAAGGCAGGTGGTGGCTTCTGTCAAGAATAACGTACCCAGGAGGCCGTGACTGAGCAGGCCCAGGGGTATCACATGCACACACCTGACGGTGTCTTCCGACAGCTTTACCTGACTCAGCCTGGGAGCGGGCCCCTCCCCTTCTGTTACAGGTGTCCTGGCACCTCCTCCGCACAAGGAAACGCTGTGATGAGACCTTGTGTCGATGTGGCAAAGATTTTTAACAACAACAACAGAACAAGCTGCGGAATGCATTGAGACCCCCGTGGGTGAGGAACAGCAGGGGCCCGACTGAACGGCACCTGGAGGCAGTGACATTTTGCCACAGCGTGCAGACATATGGGTCCTTGTGTGGGTGTGCTATCCTCTTAGTAGAAGGCGATGTTTCCAGTCCTGTCGGACAGACATTTCCATGGCCACTTGATGCTCATTGCTGTGCGTTTTCCCTCCATGGAGACATGGACAGTAAGAATGAAGAACAGCTCAGGAGTACAGACCTGGATGGAGGATATCTGGAGAAACAATGCCTTTACATTTACAGCTTATGCTTGTATGTTATCGTTCTTAATATGTGATCTTTTATCATATATATATATAATTGGAGCCCTGGTGGAGTGTAGAGGGTGGGAGAGAGCAAATTTTTTGAAGAAATCATTTCTTATGATGCAAAATTTCCCAAAATTGATGGAATCTCTGACTAAGATTTCAGAATACTCCATGAATCCATGCCTGAAAACATGAACTAAACTTCCAAAGTGTATCCAGACCATGTGAGACGGAGACTCGCCATCCTGTCTTCTGAGGAACATCGGGCTGTACTTCTTCCAACACAGATTTGTTTGTGCTTCTGAGATTCCGAGGTACAGCCAGTGTTCTTCCCCAACACCAAAACTCACATGTATCGATTCTTCGCCAGTCTGTCTTAGTCATTATCCGATTTTCACATGCATGTGAGGCAATTGAAAATACCAAGGCTTGGGTCAGGAGCACTTTAATCCTCATACTGATAAGTATGTGTACATGTTTTCATGTCTGTAAACATTTGATAAGTATGTATACATATATATATATATATAATGAAGACCAGAAAGGGCCACCATCTTGCTGTGAAGACCAGGTACATTTGTCTCCTTTGTGACCACTGTCACAGCGCTCCACATCGTGGTGTCACTAAGCAGCAGCCATGTGTTCTCTCACAGTTCTGAAGGACAGGAGTGTGAAACCAAGGTGTCAGCAGGGCTGAGCTCCCTCCGGAAGAGCCCCTTCCTGGCCTTTTCCAGCTTCTGGTGGCTCCAGTGTCCTGTGCTTGGTCTACAGAAACAAGAACCCTGCCTCAGCCTTCCTCTGACTCCTCCCTTTCGGTGTTGTTGTCTTCTGCCTCTTACAAGACCCATCCAGCTAACCCACAACAATCGCGTATCAAGGTCCGAGCCTTAACTACATCTTTAAAGGCCTTCTTCCAAATAAGGGCACATTCACAGGCTCCAGGATTTAGGGCATGGACACAGCTTTTGGGAGGCCCCCATCCAATCCACTAGTCCAGTCCACAACTGGAGCCCATAATGTAAACATTCAATTAGAAAATATACTGTCACCCTCAAGACTATGACTCTTGGTCACTCTTCAGGATTGGAGCTGAATGCACGCCCACGACTCACTTCCAGTCACCAACAGGCCTAAAGGGTAACATCAGGGAGGTCTGCACTGCTTAGGACAGCCAATCGTATGAGACTAAAGGGCAGCATTTGTCCAGGAACAGAGCTCAGAAGGCAGGAAGGGACAAGAAGGCATGATGAATGGAAACAGGAAGCACAGGTCAGAAGTAGGAAGAGCTGCTACGTTGTGGGGATCACAATTAATGTCACACAAAACACGTATCTGAACTGTTGAATGGAACTTTGTGGGGATCACAGTCCATCACACACAAAAAAAATGTGTTTGGACTGTTGAATGGAAAACTACTTTGCTTTGTAAATTTCCACCCAAATCATAATAAGTTGTTGTTGTTGTTATTAAGTGCCATTGAATTGGTTCCGACCCATAGAGACCCTGAATAGGTTTTCTGAGGAGCAGCTGGTGAGCTTGAACCGCTGACCTTGCAGTTCAAATGGCTTTGCAGTCTGGCACATTAACTGACAGCGTCACACCAGGACTCCATATATACTAAGTTAAATATATATATATATATATATATATATATATCAAAGATATGATTCTAATGGTTTTAAATTGTTCTTTAAAAAAGAAAAAAAAGCAAATTTATTTTCAAAGGATCCTAGAGTCACAGAAAGTTTCACAAACAGTACCGAGGTCCTGTGTGCCCTCACAGGGTTTTTACGGGTCCGTGCCACCCACCGACACTCATCTGTCAGTGTGTGTACCGCGGTGGCGTCCATGTTGTGTGATGCTGGAAGCTGTCCCATCAGTATTTCAAATACCAGGGGGCCACCTGTGGTGGGCAGGTGTCAGTGAAGCGTCCAGCCTGAGACATCTACGTGTTAACAAAGTGGCCAGTGAAAGCCTTCTGAACAGTTGCAGCGCGTTGTCCGACGTTGTGCTGGTAGACAAGCCCTGCAGGTTGGAACACACTCAGAATCTGACTGGGGAAGAGCCGTCTTCTCTCAGTAGACTAGACCTTAATGACATGAATGGAGTAGAATGTTTGGGAACTTCATTTGCAGCTGTGGTGTAACTCTGCACCACATCATTGATAATCATACTGTGACTGGTACAAAGTATGTGTGTAGGAAAACTGGAAGGTGCCAAGTTGAAATGGAACTCTAGGATGGACTGCTGGTAGCCATAATTCAAAAATGGTTGAGGTGGCTCATCGACAGGAAACTGGCTGACATTTCAGCCAGATTCACAAGAGGAACATGTATCTTGCCTGAAAGCAGAGAATACCAGAAAGGTGTTTCTGTGTGTTTTTGACTGTGCAAAGTAACAAATTATGTGCCTCATAACAAATTATGGATAATATTGAGAAGAATGGGAATTACAGAACACTCGGTTGTGTTTGTGTGGAATGTGTACATGGACCAAGAGTCAGTCGTTCAAACAAAACAAAGGTATGTCCTCCTGGTTTAAATTCAGAGGTATGCGCCAGGATTGTATCCTTTCCCCATACTTACTCAGTCTGTATCCTAAGCAAACAATCT